TAGTAATCAAGAGAGAATTACATAATATTGATCAGAGTGCTTTGGGACCAGGGTCTGACTGGAAATGTATGATAAAATTTCCTCTTGATGAAAAGTGACCTCTTAATGAATACACCTTTGAAATAAGAGACATCTTCATTTTGATAACCATTAAAGTATTCAAGCTCCCCTCCATTTGTCTATTAAATTTGTAACTTTATCTAACAATGCCCTGATTTCATTATAGAACTTTACTTCATAGTTTAAATATATGTAGGGATACACCAACTTCATCAAACTTCCTTAACAGTGTTGTATCTAGTTCTAAATAATTCCTGAGAAAAGTTTTAGCCCCAAGTGTTTGTGAACTCTTTCTAGAAGATTTTTAGAAAATTTCTTCTCTCTCATATCTTTGAATACTCCTGTAAGTCCAGGGCAACAAGAAATGTTGCCACTCTGCAACTTATCATAAGCAATTATGAATACTATCCAATAGTTGGACCTATAGTGTGTGTGCCTGAAATCTGCCATCTTCAGCACTTGAACCAACCATTCAAACTGCATCAGATGTGGGATTTCAGGAGACTGAGAACAAGCCTCAGGAATTCAAGTTCTTCCCATTCCCTCTGTGGATCTGGATCCAAGTTAAATAAGATAAAAACAGTTTTTTGATGCAGCTAATCTTAGAACACCAGCTAATGCTTAGCAAATCATTGAAAAACCCCAAATTCCACACTAATGTAGTCCTGTTTAAGAAAAAGGATAAAAACACAAGTTTCAGAAAATTTTTCCATCTTGAGTTACAGAAAAAAAGACCATGTAATGAGGCTCTGTCTATTTTGAAATGAACCTCGACTGGAAACTAGACTCTCCCCAGTAATATAGCACAAGCTCTAAATGCATCAATCACACCACCTCTCCAGCTGCCGCATGTACTGAGCTCAATCACACAGGCCAGGCAAAGGCTGCCTCCTCCCATGTGCCGGCTTGGACTTCAAATAATCATACCTAACATTGGTTGAGCTCTCATATTTCAGGATCTGTGTTCCTTCTTATTTAAACCTCACAATAACCTATCAAGGCAGATACTATTTTATCCTCATTTCATATGTTCATTCTAAGCATTTCTGGCTTATATAGAGGTTAATGTCAATCACTCATGCCTCTGTCCTTCCTGGTTAGGACCAAGAGTAGGAATGAAATGACCTGATAAGCAGAAGGGCCAAAGTGTTCATTTTCTCTATGAAGGCCTAATCACTATGAACTGGAAGTCCTAGATTAGAGAAAGTAATTTGGAAAGAAGCCAAAACAAATAATGCTTCCTATTACCTCCTCCAAATCTGAACCTTAGGATCAGCCACTGGAGTACATTGGGTCTGCAGGCAGACCCTTCATCCTTACCTTCAGTCAGCACTGGGATGACGGATTGAGACCCATCTCAAAGACCCAGTAGTCAGCAGCAGAGCACAGCACATGAAGAAATGGCTTCTAGAAAGAAGGCAGTGTACCAGGTCTGTTTACCCAAAAGCCCTCTTTCTAACAATATGCCTAAAAGAGAGAATTCTATTTCTTCCTTTTAAGCGTGGCTTTCAAAAATAGTTTTCAAACATAACTACCCACTGGAATCACTTGGAAAGGTTTAAAAATCATAGTGACCTGGCCACAGTCCAGAACAACTATATCGGAATCTCTAGGACACAAGTATCTTTTAAAGTTGTCCAGGCAATTCCAACATGCAGCCTAGGCTGAGAGTCACTGCTTTCTAGGTTCTGTTACCCCATCCCCTATTTCTTTATTCATTTATTGGAATATAGTTTATATACAATATTATATTGGTTTCAGATGAACAACTTAGTGATTCATCAATTACATATATCATTAAATGCTCACCATGATAGTTACCATCTGTCACCACACAAAGATATTTCCATATTATGACCTACATTCCCCTATGCTATACTTCCATCCCTGTGACCAAATTATAATTTGAAGCCTGTACCTCTCTACATTCACCTATTTCATGCATCCAATCCCATGGATAACTAACTGGCCATTCTCTGTGTGTATAAATCTATTTCCATTTTGTTTGTTTTATAAGTCAGAGAAAGGGGGATACCATATGCTTTTACTTATATGTGGAATCTGAAAAACAAGACAAATAAACCCATCTCCTCTTAATCAAGCCAGTCATGACTAACATTTTTTGAGGAGATACTTTATACTGAACAATTTATAATCGACATTGCAAACTCTCTGAGGCAGGTAGGATAATTTCACCAATGGGAAAAATGGGGCTTAGAAAGGCTAAGTGACAAACCTGGGATTACAAATTTAGTATTTTTCTCTAAGCTGGATACTTAACCACCATGCATAACTTTGCTGCTTTTGCTGGATCCATGATCACAGAAATTTCTCCCATCAGGTAATACATTCATCTTCTGTAGGGAGGAGCAAATAAGAATGGAGAATCTGGGGGTTCATTCCAATATCGCCTCTTTATAGAGAACATGAGCTCCTTCCAGGAAGTCAAGGAGGAATAAGGGTTTGTTTCCAACAACTACCTTTTGTAGAGATTTGGAAAATGTGTGGTAGGAAGTAATAAATCAACAGTAAGAGATTGCTAAAATTGGCAAGCAGCTAACATCAAACAGTATAGTTTTTAAAACAGAGTCACTTAATAGTTTTGAACAGCCTTGGTATCTTGAGAATGAGAATAAGAACATTGGATAGCAGTCTATGAAAATAAGGCTAAGGCTGGTAAAGAAAGGTGCCATAGGAGTTTACAGGAAAAGGGAGTCAAAATTGCTTCTGAACATACCAATGACAATACAAACTGAACAGAGAAAAATAAGAACAGTAGCCTAGAAGACTGGGAGGGGCAGAAAGATTGCAGGAAAGGTGAGGTGAAGTTCACATCCAGGACACTGAGTTAGAAAATGAAAGGTGATGCATCACCCAATAACTCAAATATTTTAAAAGGTAAAGACAAAACAGGAAGAGAATTATCTTTCCTGATTTCATATTTTTAAGTCTGCAAAGGTAGAAAGTAATGCAAATTGGATCTTGCTTTATATAAATTTGCTGAAAGTGTATAAATGTTAATATCAAATAATGTACTAATTTGCTGGTAGAAATTTTAACAGTGAAGAAGATTTAAATTATTCTTTTGGTAACTTCCTTGGAGCAAATAATCATTCTAATTTATTCTTTTTGCAATTTAGAATTTTCACACAGTGAATTTGCAGGACACTGGCACATAATTTGATCTAAAGGAAAAATGTATCATTACAAGTGTGTTGGAATATCTGATGAGCAACAGAAAAAGAATTCGTATACGCAGATGTGTTCGTTTTATTCTCTTTTCAAGGTGTGAATCATCATTGCCTTATGAATAAAAGGCTGAAAGGAGGACAAAAAACTCCACCCATCTGTGCCGGCATAGAGCTGCACCAACTTTGTAAAATAATTGGCATCTTCAGAAATGCACCCATTACCTGTTCCTTTAGCTGCTAGGAAACTTTGGGAAGTGTGGCAACTGGCAAAATCAGGTTAAAAGTCTATAAAGGTAGATTGTTTTCATTTCTAGTGGAAGCTTACATGAGGGTTAAATTTTAAAATCCCCTCACATATATTTTATAGTTAATCGAAGATGACTGGATCTATATAATGAGTTTCAAGTGCTGATCTGCAATTTGGTGACTTCTCTGGAATGAAAAAACAAACTCTAAATTGATCAGTCATATGGTCATTCTCACTGGTGTGACTAAATCAGTTCACGTGTGACTTACCTACTCTACCCCCCCCCCCCCGCCCCAACACACACACACACAGCAGGTAAACCTTTAACACAGTAGATTAAATTCTTGAGACCCTGGCATATCATGACAGTAGGTATGCAGTGTTAATGGAATAAATTCTAGAATGATTGTGCCTTTTTAAAATAAACTTTTACTGTTTTTATGGCTATTCCTAAGAAACTCTTAAGTCTTTTGCTAAAAAAGGATATAGAAGATATTTACTCACATAATTTAACTCACACTAAAACATGCTTTGTAAGTTACCATGAAACTCATTCTGAAGTCTGAAAATTAATATACTTTGGGTGTTCCTTTCAAAAATTAGGTGGAAAGAAATTAATAGGACTTTACTTGCCACTGATTTATGTATTAATCAAAATGGTCAAATAGTATTCAAATGGTTCTGATTGGAATCATGAAGCAGCTGGAACACTGTAATTTTCACATCAAATGAAACAATGTGGCTGTATGTATTTCCAAGAAAAAGTCTGCTGGAAAGGATAATCTCAGCTACTTGGAAATGTGCCTGAAGTACCAACTAGAACACAAATTCAGCACTGGGGCTTAGGACGCTAGCTTTCCATATCTAAGGATGCTACTGGGGAGGCTCTAACAAAAAAGTCCAATCCTGAGTTTCCACAGTACACATTAAAAACTGATCTTAGATGAACAGTCACAGATAACTTTAGGGTGATAAGAGGCAGGGATACAGTTTAAAATACACAACTTCCCAATACGAAAATGTCATGTTGGTCAATAATTGTTAAATCCCATTCCCGACACTGTTTTGAGTTCATTCACTTAGTTTTCCTACCTTCCACAGAAAGTGCTGAAAGGCAGTGACCCTTCAATAGTTAGGAAACAGTGGAAAATGGAGTGACCAGCCATTTCATAGGCAATAATTGACTGCACGGTAACACTGGCTTTCAGTCACAAGCTAACTTGTCTTTTCCTTTAATACAGAACACAAACATCCAGTCATTACTTTATGAAAAAACTAGTCATACTGTGTGATACATAGGGATCACAACAGTACTTTGAAAATGTTTTAAAACTCGGAAACATAAGAGTCTCTTATTTGCATGGGGCTCCCACATTTTTTATAAGATAAAACAAACCCAGGCAACAATGTATTTTCCACAGAGAACACAGAGACGCTCATTCAGAATCCTGTATTTCATCCTAAGGTATGGAAATTTACATCAACTCAGACACTATACACAATTCTGAGTCTCTTCTCATTTTTTATTTTTTAAAAAAAGACAGATTTATGATATTGTAAGAAATTACTGTTACATTTTTAAAAAATCTGCTAAGTGCTACAGTAATGGAATAAATAAATAAGATTTTTCTAAGTTCAATGTTTATAGACATATTTATTTAAAAAATTAGTGAATTGAAAGATGTTAAATGATGTTGATATACACCAGGAAAGGGTTTAGGCAAGGAAAGGCACATCATTTCACCACAAGAAATAAAGACCATAGTTGGAAGTAAATGACCAGCCAAAGTTTTAGGTCTTGTGGCAGTTTTCCTAGCTCTGGAGGGTCATTTTGGTGGAACCTTCTTTATGGTACTTAGCTGGAATAAATAGTTGGAGAATTTTACTCTGTGACCCCGATGTAGTGTTAAAAAGAAAGAAAAAGCATTCTTTTAATAAACTTGATGTAAGAAGACGGAAGGAACAAAAATCCAAAATGGTTTGGTGGTATTGAAAGTCCTAGTCACAGAAGGTTAAAAAAAAAGAAGTAAAATAAGGTTAATCGTCTTGTCTTGCTGAATTGGACTTTTTGCCGTTCAAAGTTAAAATTTTAAGTTAAGTGCTGTATTTTTCACTTCCTTTCTTGTAGACAGACACATGCAGATAAACAGCTGCCATATTTCACCTCAGATAATGCTATATGCCAACATTTCGGGAAAAAGATCTTAGGTAATTTCCCTATTTTATAAAGCTTAAACCTTTGAAAATAGCACTAACACCCACGGCTGACTGGCTAACTACAACAGCAAAGTGAACATAACTTTTGACAATGAAACTAAAGAGTTTCCAGTTGAACGACAAAGTTACTCTATTGAAATGTCTAACAAACAGCAGAATTTGTTTGGGGTCAATTTCCCCCTACCAATTTTCTTTCACAAATTTGTGCCAAGTGTCTACAAATTTCTGTCTGGACTCTGAACCTACATTAGTTTGTCTGAAACATGGAATTACTGAGAATAATCCATGTAAATTTTAGTGGTATTAAGAAACAACTGTGTGAAAAACTAAAATGGATTTTCAGGATAAAATGGCATATTCACACACACAAAAAAAAAAGTTAAAAACAACTGGGAGTAGACAAGGGAAAATATTAATGTTAAAAAATAATAAAAATGGCAATTGTAAAGCAGGAAGCCTCCCAACTCATGCCACACGATATGCCTTCATTAAGGTGTATTCTTTGCGGTTGGTATGAGCAGCCCAGATGAAGAGAGCAGAAGCCATGAACTGTAAGGGAGCTGAGACACAAGCCAAGCAGAAGGACCATCCAAATTCACCAGACACATTCTCCGGCAGCTCTAGTCTCTGATGGAGCAGTTCAATTCCAGCAACATAACAACTCACTGAGCCCAGTGTACACAGACCTTGGAGGAAAACAAAACACAGCTAGGTAAGAGCACAGCAAGAGCTTTTCAGGCACCATGGCAGGGCAGTACTATGTGAATGCTTAAGAATTAAAACTCTTTGGTTCCTAAGGAGACAGGAAGATAAAATTAAGTACCATGACAAGACCCACCTGCAAGGAGATGAAGAATGCCTGTGGCAATCGTGGGATACAAGCTTCGGCAGATACAAGCACAAAGTCCAATCAAAGCCCCAAAGCACATCAAACCAACACTAACAAAAGGTAAAAGGAACTGGCAACGCCAAAGATCTAAAAGGCAGACAGAAAGAAGAAATGTTAGCATGATTTAGTTTTCTCACAATGGCAGTTTCTCTCAAATTCTAATTGGATCTTTTTCCCAAAAGCAGGGAAGTAGTACTGTGATACTGAGGTTTATTTTCTAAAGCACATTGTTTAAAAGGATGTTAACTCAGTCCTGATAGAAGTAAAAGGACAAAACAGTTAATAGTTACTAAGAGCTCACCATATGTCAGACACTACTCTGCATGTGCTGTGTACTAATCCTCCCAATATCCCTATGAAGCAGGTGCTATTATCATCTCCATTTGGTATACAAGAAAACTAAGGCAAGAAGTACAAATAACTTGTATGTGGTATCAGTTAAATGGCAGAGCCAGCATTTGAAGTAACACATTCTGTCTCTACCTACAAAAAAATCTAACACCTTCTAGGAGATCAAGAAATGAATAATAAGTAAATGAATAGTGATTCTAAGAGACTTACTAAAAAAATATTAAGCACAAAATGGAGGATATGGTATATACCAGGCACTAAATAAATGGCAGTTTTAACTATCATCAATTCCTTTAAACATGGGAAGAAAGCTGATAACTTTACAAAGCATTCCATTCTATTTTTAAATTATTAGCAATGTATTAATATCAACTCTAGGCCAAATTCTACTGTTTAGTGCTGGTTTTACTTTCTGAACTACATGAAAGTCTTCTGCTAACTTCCCTTCAAATTCCGTTAGTAATAAACTTCTTCCTATGCATTCGCAATACAAAATTGACTATGTGCCATTTATTTAAGGGTTCCTTTCATGACACAGTTATTCTTATGGGCAACATCTGGGAAGTCCCTATAGCCTGGAAACAGGTCCAAATCTATGGACAGTATTTCTTGGATAGCCTGATCATTAAGGATTAGAATGCTCCTAATAAATACCTTCATTTGTTTTTGACATCTACACTTTTGTTACTACCACCTAAGACTGGATTAACACTTTGGGCAGGCCTGACCCTCTGCTGACTCATAAAAAGCCTGCAATCAAGTTTTTTTTCTCATATCGCTATCTGAACTCAACTGACTATAAGAATTTATCCCGATTACTTTTTATCCCAATGAAATTTCCTCTTTGGATTCTGCTATCCAATGTATTAGCTGCCTCTCTCAACTTCCTATTGGCTAACTGGTTAAATATATATCCAATTTCTAAAATATGTTATCAACAGAACAGAGTTCATCGGGATACCATTAGAGATCTTATTTAAAATTGACACAATGTACTAATTCATCTTGTTCAGATGCATTAGTTAAACAGAGCTCAACAAAACACAAATAAAATTATTTATCTTCTTCTCCAACTGTCCTGCTGGGATAAAAGTACTCACATGTCCGAAGCAGATCAATCCCACTATTGTGGTTTCCAGGATCAACAAATTTCTCCATGAACTGGTCATTTAGCGTGAAACTCATGCATTTTGTGACCAAATCAAATGATTCTGGAAAAAGAATAACAATGACTTGTTGTTTTAATTATAAACATTTAACAAACATCTCTTTAAGTAATTATTCTCTTGAATAAAAACTGATACAGAAAGACATGCCCAGAAGAGACAGCAATCTCTTTGGCTCTGAGTGACATGTAGTATTTATCAATACCCAGTGGTTGGTTCTTGGCAGCAGGCTTAAGACATGGACATAAGAAAGGAAAAAAAAAAAAAAAAAAAAAAGGTAGAAATGAATGAGAATAGATAAGACTAGGAAGAGGAAGGCACAAAAACAGAAATAAATAGGAACTTTGATCTCCCCCAAAACTACTCTACCAGCCATCTTCCTCATAGGTAATGACAATTCCATCCTACTACTTTCTCAGACCAGAAACTTTAGAGCCATTCTTGCCCATATACATCACATCAGGAAATAAACCAGTCTCTACCTTCAAAATATATCTAGAATCCAGTCATTGCTGAGTGCTACATCCGGTCTGAGTCACAATCATCTCACCTGAATAATAGCCCCCTAACTACTTTCCTGGCTTCCACCTTTGCCTACCACCTGTCTTCAACACATCAGCCTAAGTAACTAGCTCATACCTCCTCTGCTCAAATCTCCTCAATAGCTTCATCACATTCAGAGTAAAAACCAGTCTTCATTATACCAAGAATCCCAGAAGACTTGCCCTATTTCCACTCCAGAGTACACTTCTGACAGCATACCCAACTCTCCGCATCTTCCTCCATTCTCACCCAGTGGCTTTCTTGCTGGCCTTGGAATATTTCAGGTGTGCTTCCACCATAGGGTCTTTGCAGTAAAGTTGTGCCTTCCAACCTAAATGAGTCTCCCTGCCTCCGCAATTACCCATATGGCCAATTCTCTCACTTTTATCAAGTCTTTATCTTGTTGAAGCCTATCCTGCTTATACATTGATCAAACGTATTATGCCCACCAATATCCCCTTCCCTACTTATTTCCAAATCCTCTTTATTTTGCTGTATTTTTTCATAGCACATGTCATCTTCTAACATACTGAGTAATTATGCATTGTTTTATACTACCATACTAATTTATTCCGTTTATTGCCTATCAGCCCTTAGAATGTTAGCTCCTTAGGAGTAAGGATGTTTACTTATTTTTTTCCCTGATATACTCCAAGCTATTAACTTGTTGAATGAATGAGAAATGACTGGTAGGATGTAAATATCAAGTGTAGGATTTCCTATGTAGAACTAGACATTTTAGAATTAATTTTAACCAACATCCCCCTCCTTTCCAAACTTTTCTCCACATATAAATACAACTATCATTCTTTCGCTGTATGTAACTCAACCCTGTTGTGCTGTGATTTGAATACAGTGCTTCCCACTGAACCCCAACAGTAGTCATAAATAGAAACAAATTGTAAAGTTGTTCCTAAGAGCTCTAAAACTTTCATTTTAATAACTAGAAATTTAAATTTTAAATGTCAAAAATGCTTGAAAAATAAAACTGAGCCAATCCTACATATATGGATATATGTGTGTGTGTGTTATTTTTTTTTCAGCTTCTGTATTTTCACCTACAAATTCTATCAAAATTGTTGTAACAGCCTCAAATATGCAGACTTAAATGTAGAGCTGGTCAAATTATATCTTCTAAGATTCAAGGGGAAAATGAAATTATCTATTAAAACACAGTTAACACATAGACTATAAATTCAAATCTGTTGACTTGATTTTGGATACAAGTCCTTTTATCAGTTACCATGTATTTAAAATGGCCCAATGTACTTTTCTAATTATTTCCTCATGACATGTGAGATTAATAAAAATAATTTTAATGAATGGGTAAATAAGAACAAAGATTTAAATTGGCCTTCCTAAAATAAGGACAGTTACTCATCAAAACAATATTAATGAGTACCATAGTAAGTCATGGAAGCTGGGGAGACAAGATGGGAGAGAAGAGACACATTAAGATTTATTTCTTCACAGGGAGAAAGAACCCAGAAATCTGCTTATAAATACTTGGGACCATTGTCACATCACTTTATCTATTATTGAGTAGATAAAGGAGACAAGTTAAAATAAGAGAAATACCTGTCCTTTCTGGTGGGCTATACCAATATGTGTTTTGGGGTATAGTGATACACCGTCTCCACAATCCCACTGTGCCATTATATCTGAAAAGGGCATCATTGTAAGTCTTTTCATCTGCCTCATCACTAGCAAAGTCGCTCCAGATGCTTTTGTTCAAATCACTGGAATTTTCTTGAACTGGACTTCGATATTCATACCAGAAGTCTGTACCAATTGAGGCTGCCATGTAGATGGTGGAAATGAGGCTCAGCACACAAGCAATTACAAATGCTGTAGCAAAACGGTTATCCATTCTGGCATTCAGACTGCTCTGTTTAAAGTTGAAGAAATAAGAAAAGTTAGACTTCAAGGACAAACATAGATTATTTTGAAAGTAAGTATATCAAAATCACCCTTTACCCTATTTCCCATCCCTTAGCCCTTTAAAGAAATTGGAAAAAAAGAAAAAAAAAAGCAAGCACATTCTTAAGTTCAAAACAAAACTCATTATCACAAAAGTACTTATTGATTGCTCACATACCCAGGATGCTACGGAGACAGAGGTCTTGTTCTCTAGTCTATCACCTGCACACTAAAACAGACAACACTGAAATGGACATACACGTTACAGATACAAACAGACATGCCCAGAGTCAGCAATATACTGTGCATTAATTTTTAATCACAGACTTAATTTTTATACAAGCTGCAGCGCATTAGTGTTCTGGGTTTGAGTGTGAAAAGAACCTAGGAAAAAGGAAGCAGAGGAACTCAGCTCCTCCCAGTTTCCTTTTTAGAGGGAAACCTTCTAAAACAAAATTAATAGGAGCTACTTGGAAGGCATTGTTGACGATGTTTGTTAACCCTGAGAGAAAGGCTGATCCAGGTGCAAAGAGCACAATAACATAATAATGCTAGAAATCTGCCTCTAACTTATACTTTTGAACCTCCTCATCTGCAAATTAAATGATCCCATCTCAACCAGAATGAAAACTGAATTAAGCAAAATATGTACACTTCTAAGGCGTGGACAGGGCTCAAAGGCAATAGTAAATGGCCGCGGTTAAATGACTCAAGGCGGAACAAGCTGAGTCAAATACTGCAAATATACACCATGACGGCGCCAAACACCTCACAAAGGCGCACGAAAACACTCGCAAACTGGGGTTGCCGAGTTTGGAAAATGGGAAGTGACTGAGGAGAGATCAGGGCAATTACACAGTGATAACAATAACTCCCGAAGTTGTTTTTGTATTTTTATCCTTTTTAATCCTCTTTCATCCTGGTGTTCTCCAATGACCTTAAAAGGTCCCGGCACCGGGAACATGTTCGCACAGGCCGGGAGCCTGGCGCTGTCGCCTCGCTGGACGCACCACGGGAACGAGGGGCGTCGAGGAAAATCCGGACTGGGGCCAAGCAGTCTCGCGCAGCCCTCGGCCTGGAGCCCCAGGTACCCGGCCAGGCCCCTCCCCGGACCACTCGGCGGAGAGAAACAGACCCTCCGCAGACCGCCCCTCAGAACTGCCAGCCGCAGCTGTACAAGGGGCGGGTACCGCTTCACACAGCTGGAATCTCCCAACGGCTATGCGACCCCTGCCCAACGACTGCGACCCCGCTCACTCACCGCCCATCCTCCTAATTCGCCGGCTTCGCCCTCAAGCTCAGACCACAGCACCCTACTCTGCTCGCGCCTCTTCTGACGCACTTCCCTGCAGAGCCTGCCCCCTCCACAACTCCCGCGCCTCCGCCTCCGCGTCCACCCAAGGCCGGGCCTAGGCCCCGGACCGAGGGGCTTTGTGGGAGTTGTAGGAGGGACACAGGGAAAACTGCGGGAGACGGCGGAAAGCAGCCAGGCGCGCCGCGCGGCGCATTGTGGGGGTTGTAGTTCAGCTCCGGTGGGCAATCGGTGCGCGAAACTGAAGTCTGGGCTTCTGGGTTCTTACCTGTTATAGTGGAAGGTATGAAAGTCCACAAGGTCGACTTGTCTCCAGTCACCGCTGGTCACCGACTGTGACATGTGTAACTCAGATCTTCCAGTCCAGTGTTCTCCCTGTCTCCCCAACTTATCTCTAAATATGTGAACAGCAATGAGACTGATTATACTTTTGAAATACTAACCTATTTATTTCACTCCTCACAGCCGCACTTCCATTGGAGCAGAAACTCTTTCTGGTTTATTGCTTAAGTTTAGCCTAAGAAGGATGTGACTTGATTGATTACATCTACAATGTAATGACATTGGGTTTTATATAATTTATGTTTGTGTCTACTTTCTCTTTGTGGCAAATGATGCTAGTTTCTTATTTATTGTAGCAAAATTTCCTTTTAAAATAAATTTCAGTTAGCTAAATAAAAATATTAAGTTAATAATAATACTGATGATATGTCAAAGAACATGAATAAAAAAAAGTTTATGAAAAAGACTGAATTTTGGAGAACATTGCCTTAAGTAAGAAAGGTCATGGACAGCCTTGGAGAATGCAGATGACTCTGTGACACAGAATGATTCTAAGCCCTCAAGTATTGCACAAAAATTCATAGACAGGAAGCAGGGATATTTTAGCAATGATGTGTATGGATACTTGCATAAGGTCAGGAACTAGCAAGTAATGGGTTTCTCAAGAGGTATCTACAGAGACAGAAGACCCAGGACTATAAGGGCTCTCAAATCCTATCCCATCCCCAAGTGCCTTGGACCATAACTACTACCCAGGTGAAAGGGTGAAGCCCCAAGTTGAAATTAAATTTCTACCACCCTGACAGATTGAAGGAATGATGTCTGTTTTCTATCTGTAGTTATATTTATTAGCCAGAGTTGGTGAACTGATATCCATATCTAGTACATTAATAAAATAAGGTAATAGCCAAATATTATATTAAAGACTGGATTTCCAGTAGAATACCTGTAAAGGAAAACTTTGTCAAAGGCACCAATTAGAGAAAGTGGTGGAGGTGCACAGGCAAATTTTTACTATGCAATATGACTCCTAAATACATTGGCTTTGATTGCTAATCCCCTACCTTCAGAAATGCCTCTCCTGCGAAGTCACATAGTAAATAAACCCAGCTAAAAAGAAAGTTGAAAAAAGGGAGAGGAAGAGACCACCTCAATTTACAGACAAGGGAACTGAGCCCAGGGTGATTAACTGGCTTATCAAGCTTGAATATTGGGGTGAGCTGACTTGCTTTGTGACATTAGACAACTGCCTGTTTGAAGTTATGATCATCCTGCCCACTTAGCAAAGAGGACTTGAACCACCTCATCACACACATATCTCCAAGCACACAACCGTATTTCAACTTATCTCCATTATCTTGGGCGTTTTCTATGCTTGCTTAATAGTTGTGTGGGTAGGCAAAATAAATCCTTAATAAATAAATGGAGTTAAATTTTCTTCCATTTCTTACTCTGTTGTTTGGGAAACAGTAGTTGGCCTGACATTTCACAAATGTTAAAGATGATTTTGTGCCACCATGTACAGATTATGAAATCTAGTGGAACTCGTCCTCTGACCTCATTTGTTAAAGATGGTTCTAGTTTCATTAGGAAGCTGTTATAATTACATTACATTTTAAATAAACCCTAAAACTGAAAATCTAGATATCAGATATTGTAACTTATTATATGTGCTTACAAAACAACACTTCATGCAAGAATTTATTTCAATACCAAGTGCCATGATGTGTTTAAATATTATTTTTTAATTGCACATTTTTAAGAACTTAAAATTGTGTTAAGCAAGGTATATCTACATTATGTTTTCTCATAGTTTTGTCCTGGTATTTTCCTTATGGACTCTGGAGTACTAAAAGGAGAAAAATAGGAAAACATACATGCTCTGGGTTCCAATCAATGACCATCCTCAAAAACAGTATCGATCATTGAATTTCCTCACACCAATTCACTAAAGAATAAGGGAAAATTAATGAAGGACAAGGCAGATAAAAACGTTTATCCAAAATGGCTCTTTCCTTTTAGCATTTCCTGTGAAATGCTGCACAGAGTAACAAACCATAGTTGTTTAGATGTCCATATTTCTGAAGGAGACTGAATGGACCACATGCAGATGAGAAGTTTAAATATAATTATCTTTTATTTTAAAATGATCAATATGAGTCATTGCTAAATGACCCCTGAGCCCCAGTGTCTTCATTCATAAAATGGTTGTACTAGATGATCACTATCACTTGAAGCTCTAAAATTTTATGATTCATAATTCTGCTCGAAGAAGAAAAATATAACTCCAAATATGGTTGTCATAAATCCATAATGTTAAAGGTACACTGAGGAATTCATGTATCCTACACCTCCGGTCTAGACAGTGTACAAGAAGACAGAGTGTGAAATACAGATGGACAAAGGGAAAGGTGGAAGGTTCTATGCATTTTGATAAGAAAAGCTACAGCAACACAGACCTTTGCTGTTTCAGTGATAAACAGTAATCATGGAAAATAGAAGCTGCCCAAGAAGTTTATGAAAAGGCCCTGTTCATTGGAAATGACTCAAAATTCAAGCATAACTCAGGCCAGATCTACATTTATTGACTGCCTATTGTATGCCAGACACTATTCCAGGTACTAATAACACCAATATAAATAAACACAATTTTTATAATGTACAACCTAAGTCCAGATTAAATCAACCATTATGAAGAAACCTACAGTATACCTTAAATGGTAACATCACTGCTGTCTGTATAAATATGGAGTACCAATGGAAATAATCCAATAAATGAAATGGGGAAGGACCCTGATAACAGCACATACAGCCCACTTAATTTGGCACAATGTATTACATTATATTGCACTAAACTCTCCAACTAGCTGTCAGAATTTTAAAAAAATCATTAACTTTTAGTATATGAACAGTTCTCTTAAACTGGACTGTTTAAATGTTATACACTTTGTTACTCAAGTAAGAAACGGATGGGAGTGTTTATTTCTAATGAATATATAACCATTCTGATTGATAAGATTAATGAAAAACAAATGTTTGCTTTATAATCTTTGCCATTTATTCTGGGACTTACCAGCGGACGCACAATCTGATGAATCCCTATCTAGCATAGGGTCCAGAATGGTTGATAGGAAAGAAGCAGAACTAGTATAATGCCAGTTGGGGTGGTTTTTCTCATAGAAAATTGTCATCCCATCTGTGAAGCAGCTGCTGCAAGTCACGGCTGTGACTATATGACAGATGGTAATAGATTCACTTAAACAGATGCCGCAGTGGACAAAACCTCACTCCCTCTCCATCTTCAACATCTGACCCAATTCCGAACATATCTCAGGAATTGGGATGCAGAATAGGGAGGGCCTAGTAACCTAAATTAATTCCTAAAATTTTGTGAGGTACAGGCTAGAAAACTTCTAAGAAGCTCAATTTTAGAGAAGATTACTGAACTTTTTAAAAAGGCAAAATAATAGCAAAGCATAACATATAAAGCTAGTTAAGATACATAAATTAGAACTCTGAGTCTATACTTTGGTGTAAGAATTACCTTGAATACTCTTTAAATATAAAATCTGAGACTCTACTCCTAATGATTCTGATTCAATAGTTCTGGGGATGAGGTTCAGAAGCTACAGTTTACTAAGCTCCCCCAGGTGAGTCTAAGCGGGTAATGTGGCCTGACATCCACAGGTTCAAAACTTTGAGACTCCAGAACTTTAGTTGGATAACTTCTGTAAACTAGAGACTGGTGAAGAGATAATGAATGGTCTCTCCCTTCACGATCAGCTCAGGAAGTCAGACACCAAAACAACTAACTAACGTGAAATGAAATGAGTACTTTATAAGCAGTATTGTAAACGCTCAGAGAACACAGGTGCAAGCAGTGATCTCTGCTGGGGATGTGGGAGAAAAATGGAGTGTATCTTTTTGTAAGAAAACAATTCATAAGAGGTGGCATGCGTGCTGTCATTCAGTTACTAATATCTACATTCTGCTCTTTTTCTGTCATCACCCTGTTCAGATTGCCTTTCCATATGCTTATGGTACCCCACATTGTTTTGTGTTTTGGTCTATGTAATTGGTTATTTTATTGTCAGCATCCTCATGTTTGTATAAAAGCACAAAGTACTAAAGACAACCACTGTGCTGTGCTTATTTATAACTATGACCTCCCATACTTGATCTAGTCAGCTTTTATTGTGGATTCTGTCTAATAATAGCTTCATAATCTTTGAGTTGTTGAAAACCCAGTACTATGCTATTTGTTCTCTTTTTTGGCTCAAAACGCTTAATTTGTTTTCTAACTTGAATACCAAGATGCTGTTGATCCGTTAGGGATATATTCACATTGCAGCATTCTACCACTAATCATCATTTTTTAAGGTGACTATGTGTGACAAAGCAAATCATTTTGTCTACAGCTGCTTCAAAGTTTACTGAAGAAGTCAGATTTATTTGAGATAGTTTACATCAGCATGCCAACAACTTTAGAATGCTGAAAGAAAATTTAAGGCTTACAGAATAAATGCATGGCCAGATGTTTTCTTCTAGAGTATAAGCATGAATTCTTTTTCATATTATAATAGTTTTATTTGAAATTTTTGAGACATTCTTAATATCTCATGATCAGAATTTACCTTACCTTCTCAAATGCTGAAAGAACTGGTGGCAGGATGCAAAATTCCAGTAGTACAATTAAAGTACAATTACAAAAAAGGTAAATAGATTATATATATGTATATAAATATATATACATACACACTTTACAGTCATATATGTGTATTTTACAATTATATATCTACTTCACAATTATATGTATATATATATATACACTTTACACTCATATATATACACAATACTTTATGATCAAATATATGTGTACATATTTGGTACTTTAATACACACATGGATATTGATACTATCTTGCCAATGGGTTTCAGCCCTGGGCAAGTTCACTATGGATTCCATGTGACCAAAGAAATTGACAACAAAATGTTCTTGGGGTGAAAGGTTATACCCAAGTTTATTTTTAGGTGGCAGGTTAGTCACTAGAATCCCATTCACTCAGAGCGAGTCTGCATGCAACAAGCTGGTCTCTGCCTCTGGGCCCCTCTG